CCTTTAAAAAATAAGGACATGAATGAATATTTCAGCTTCACCTTGTTGGCATATACTTAGTTGTTTAATATCAACCCTTAATTAGTCAACTTAGGTTGTTACATGACTACTGCTACATGGGCCAGTTCACGACATACAATTAACTGATGTGCGTCGGTCGCCCTTATTCTTGAAGAGGATCGGTGAAATGTTCGACGTTGAGTTGCTCAAATGCCGGATGATTTGGCTAGGGCACAGTGATATTGCATTGACCGTACAACATCGCTTATGGTAATCGTTGTTGCCGGAATAACCCAAAACAATCCTAGTGAATCATCATTAGATACTCTCAATTTTCATCAAATTACTATGCCTCCAATAACTGTCAACTAGAATACTATATTCAAGGAGGGGTATGATACATTTTTTAAGCGATAATAGTCTATATTCAGTGTTAGTTGTAGCGGTGAATAAATCCCCAAAATAAATAGCTCTGTAAGTCTTCGACATTGGATGCTGACCACATTAGTTTAAATGGACTTACCCAGCTGAAGGCCATCGGTCATGCATCCGCACCAGATCACGAGTGGGAACGCCATGCTCAACAACCCCTGCAATCGCCAGCCATATTAGACGATATCAGACGATACTCGATATGTTGATAGCCTATCAAATATATCTTCTAACCTCCTCGCTTCTGTCTTTTGATTTTACTTGTTGGGTACGGTTCATATTAGGTGTTACTGGTTAAAGCGTAATCAAACTTCGAATACCTGTGGCATCTTCATAGCGAAATTTATTATTATGGATCTGATTAGCTTACTGTCTTTGGATACTTGGGATGCGCCAACTTTTTCACACGTTTCGCCCCCTTATGCAACTGAATTGACAAGAAGGTATTCTGAATTCGACAGACCTGTACAGTGCCGGTCTACAAGTGCCTCAAGAGGGATGCATTATTGATTAAACAATGGCTGGGCAATGGCTGGGAGTAACAGCATATTTGACTATAGCTAGCAGTGGAGGAACGTCGGTCTTCCAGGGCTACTAAGTAGTGAAGCATCTCACGTAAGCTACATAAGAATATGTTCACTGCTCTCTGTTGTTCGTCCACAGTCACAAGTGCTCGTTAAAAGTGACTGGGTGAATATCAATGCCAAAATGCTTATTATTCTGTGAGTTACTCCTAGCAAATCATTTTGTGTGTAACCTGGAGAACTACCTAAAATGTTATTTTGAAATTGCTGATTTCCTGCTCTGGTGTTTCTTGTTCTTTACAACGTAATTGTGAAACAACTGATTCCACTTTTTCTTATTTGGTTCAATTTTATCATTTTATTGAATGTACAGATACACACAATCATCAGACATGTACTGCCTGAAGTGCTTAAAGGGGTACATATCACGAAATTAATTAGACTCGGTGAATGGGTTGGTGGAGAGACCCAATCAAGAAGAGTTTTAAAGTCGGTACTCGGGAATTTCGACGAAAGCGATGAAATAACTCATACAAAACTCGTAATTCAAATATTTGCATCCAACCAGGTTAGCCGCCTGTGGGTCGAATCAAGTGGAAGAACGCCCTTATGGAGTTAAATCCTCGAAAACTAAATGAATAAACGAACCTTACGATTAAGGGCATTGAAGCGGTCAGGGCTTGGAAGCCATTGTCAATTAAATCACGGTATCATTGTTGTCACAGAAACGTGGCTAGTCGTAGATATCTGTCTTCCCATCATTGCAGGTTACGTCTGTATTAGAAGTGATAGAATTATAAGCCGCAAGAGAGGAAGCATGCTATTCTAGGTTGGGGATCCCTTTCGTATACAATCAGTCATATCAGATGTGCATGTCAGGTAGTGTGTTGTACAATTAAGTCTAGAAACGGTTCAGTGGCTATAGGAGGAATATACCGTGGTTTGTGTTGTCTTGCTGACGACTTTATCCTAAGACACATCTGTTATTGTGGTAAGGCCGAATGTTGTCTCACCATTGGAAATTCCAACGCACCGCATATCAACTGCACGGAGCTTACAGATTCAGGTGGAGGTTTCGATAGAGACCTTCTATCAACCCTTATTTGGTGTACACTTGTTCAATTTATCGTAAAACCGACACAATTTGGTTTGGAGCATTATCCTTCATTTTTGGACCTTGTCCTCACACGGCACTGTGAGGATTTCATCTACATTCAGCGCCTTCAACCACTAGAGAATAATTACCACGTGGTGCTTTACTTTAAGTTTTGGACAAACGGTATACAATGCATATCTGCTCCAGCCCACCCCCAATTCTGGAGAGCCAATATGCCGGCAATAGTAGGCTGCTTTTCCTATTGACTGGTCGGTTGATGAGGATGAATCGATCGAAGACGAATGTGTTGTGACTTTATGGCCCGCTCGTTATCACATAATCTCTTCCCCAATCAAGATACGACTTATTCGCTCTTATACTGTGCTAAACCAATGACGTCCGACTGGTCTGATCAGCCTAGCGTCCTATTGATACGTTGCTCGCCTAGCCTGTCCAGCTGAGTCCAGAGTGTCAATAACAGCTGCCACTATGAGAATCATTTATTTCAGACATACTGGATTTATATACCAACCAAAGAGACTGAGAAGCAGCATAAAATAGGTAATAACATTCACAAATAAGTCAAAAAAATGCTGAGAGCGTGGGATATGGTAGTTAATAAACTGAGTATAACTTATGAACAGTAAATCGTACAATAATAATCTATAGGTCAAAACGAAGCTTATAATAAGGAGAAGATAGATATACATAATCTAACTACTGAATATTTATACCATAAGAATATATAGATAGTATTAGTCCATCAATAGGTCTCGTAGGTTACTCGTAATTTAATCTTTGCTGGGATATAACAGAATTGAATAAGTTTAAGGCTGCATTCGAGTCCGTAACGTCGCCGTTTATTCCATGGTCAACATGTAGGCTATCAAATTGCTCTGTATTGTATAATAAAGAAACCCGAAAGCAGTTGAAGCGCAGGAAACACTCCTCGCACTCATTCTTTTCAACAGGACATGAATCATTTAAGCGTGAATGCCGAAAAATTCGGAATATATGTAAAAAAACATAGCTAGATGACGTATTATTAACGACAGTTGGCATATGATAACCTTATTTTTCCGAAGCGGTTGTTTTCGTACGTTAACCAGAGAAGAAAACGTAGTGATGGTATTCACCCATCGCCGTTACACGGAAATTCAAATTTACTAGCTGAATCAGGTCTGACGAAATCTTAGACTTTATCAAATTGTTTTACCGAAGTCCATTCTACATGTATTGTTAAGAATACTTGTCCTTATCACACTGCAGATAAACCAGCTATCGGACCTGTACATGTGACTGAGGTAACTGTTCTTTTATTGATCACTAACCTCAAACCTTGCGAGATACCGGGCCCTGATGAATTACATCCACGACTGCTATTATCTCTTGTTAACATTATTTTGGAACCACTCTCAATGCTCTCTGACATGTCTCTTTTACTCATTCAAATCTGTAGAGATTGGAAAGACGCTATCGTCAGTCCTATATTTAAAGATAGTCAGAGACAGATCGCATCTATATACCAACCCATCAGTCTAACCTGCATAGTCGTAGTCACATAGATTCGTACAATCTGTTAACTCCCGAACAACACGGGTTTCGAAACAAACATCCATGCTTTACTAACTTATTGCGAGAGATGATTGGATAGCAGCATTAGATAACGATCTGCCTGTTGATATGATATTCATAGACTTTACCAAAACGTTTGACAAGGTTTCATATTTAAGTTTTATGCAAAAGCTGTCGAGTTTCGGAATTACAGGTGCAGTACTGGAATGGATAGGAAACTTCTTATATGGCCGCAGATAGAGAGTGAGGGTCAATGGGACGGAATCAGAATGGGAGCTGGTCAAATGTTGTGTAATCCAAGGTACCATCTGAAGTTCTTTGCTCCTCCTCCTATACGCCAATGAATTACCACTTTTGCCTAAGTCACCAACATTATTGTTTTCGGATGATGTCAAAATCTGAAAAACAACAAGAAGTGAGACTGATCATTTTGATCTTCAAGCTGACCTAGACGAGTCAGTTGGATGGGTTCAAGGTTGGGGGATGGAAGTTAATTCTAGGCAGTGTGTTCATGCACATCGGACACGGTATTAGTTAGCAGCATACCAATAATGGTACATCTTCGACGAGTTCAGGAACGTGAAGACTTAGGAGTAATAACAGGCCACGACCTGAAGACAACTACGCATTGCAACTCAACAGCAGACAAAGAGATTCGTCAGTCACACCTCAGAATTCAGATGCGTTGATATGTTTCGAATTTCATAACACACCTAGCGTACTCTATCCAAGCATCTGGTCCGTGTCTGAATATGTATACTGACTCGCCTCAGCGTATTCAGCATGTGGGAACAAATTTAGTGAAGATTCTTTCTAAAATCCCCTAGTATGAGCGCTCAAAATACTTAAACCTTTTTCGCCGTGTCGTATTGTAGGACGCGAAGTGACCTTATATTGGCATTCCGTATCGTTAATTACGATTTGGGTGTTAAAATTTCCCATCTATTTGCTGCTTTCGACACTAATAATCCCTGAGTTCGTAGCAAGAAGGTTCACAAATCGCGATCTAATAAACCTAAAGTAGGTGTTAGTATTTCCTCATCTAGTGGTTAATTACTGGAACGCCTTACCCGAACAAGTGATATCAGCCCCATCAGTGGATATTTTCAAGGAGAAGCTGGACCTTCACTGGTAGGCAAACTGTCAGGATTAACACAGGTACACCAACCTACTCTCATTACTGAAGACTGAAAACATGTCACTGTGAAAATGTTACGAGAAGCATTATTAAAGACTAAGGGAAGAAATTCATGTACTAAGGAAAAATTCAATCTTTATTTCCATGTTTATGCTTGTCTGATTAAACAAACGTTATTCAGCGAAACATATTTGTTTTTCTAGCTTGTTTCATAGCTTATAATTTCGAGTGGCAAATGAAAGGGAACGCTTTGCTCTATTGGTTTCTGTGGTTTCTTATTGTCAATGTCTTTGTCGATGAAGCACAAATAAACACTATTTCTTCAGTTAACAAAGTACTCCAAGCATTCGAAAGTGGATTTGATCCGGAAGTTTATCAAAACATTGTGTGTTAAATTTACTTCATTTTCATAATTTTCAATGGAAATTTTTAGACAGAAGTAATATCCTCTAAAGGCTACACATCTGAAGAACACTATGTTACCACCAAAGATGGTTTTCTTTTATGTATTATAAGAATTTTACCGAAATGTCACGTGGCTTCAGGTTTGTACTGTGGGTAAAACGCTTTTATTCCTATTTCATTTAGGAAGACAAAAAGTTGTATTTCTTCAACATGGCCTTTTAGATTCTGCCCATACTTGGGTTAACAATTTGCCAGACGAAAGTTTAGGATTTATACTTGCTGATAATTGCTATGACGTGTGGCTTGGTAATAGTCGTGGGAGCACTTATTCATCAAATCATCAGTATTTAAATCCCGATGACAAAGAGTTCTGGGAGTTCTCTTGGGATGAAATGGGCAAATACGACATACCAGCAACACTGATGTACATTCTTAATTACACTAATGCTGAAAAACTGAGCTACATCGGTCATTCACAGGTCAGTGTGTGCTGGAATACCTTTGGTCTAAATTATCTTTTCACCTTTCACAGAAATATTTTAAATTAATTGTTTACTGTATAGACAAAATCTTATTTCTTGTGATTTAGTGGCAAAATAGGACTGTTTACGGTAGTAATATTTAAGCATATTCCTCGACATCCATCAGTGACTCAGTTATGATATCATCTTGCTATGTGGAGTTGTTGTTTGAGTAGCTCAACGTTTATTTGGGTCTTTTACGTCTATGAACTTTGATTCTGTACAGTTGTTTTTTTTCATGCCACAGGTTTGAACTTGTAGACGTTTATTATTTTCTTTGCGTGAATAAGACGTCTTTCATTGTCTCACAGAAAAAGACGTCATTTGTTCTTTAATAGTTTGTTCAATCCAGCTATCTGTTGCTCAAATTGCCAACCGACCGAATGATTATTGATGTTATATAAAAACTATTTTGGTTTAAAATGAAGATATCTCAGCCAACACGACCTTTTGAAAACATTAAATTAAGGAGCTGTAACCAAGTAATTAAACAAGAAATATCACTTGCTGAATGAATTGTTTCAGTATTTTTGAACACATTTTTTCTGTCTTTCAAGTTAACAAAAATAAGGCCATGACAAATTCAAAATTATCACTTAAAACGTTGGAGATAGTAATCAGGTCACATCTAGTCGTTCTGCGTGATATTGGGAAATAGATTTTGTCTTTCTGGTTTAGAATCACCAAAAAGTGTTTGAGGTTTTAAGAATCAAAATACTTACGGGCCTTTTGACTTTTTTAAGCGACAAAAACCATAGAGAGGGATAGTAGGCTGTAGAGAAATGTTTTCGGCTTTTAAGAATAAACGAGCTTTCTCTTTCCATTATTGAATTAATGGAGAGGGAATAGTTTGTTCTAAAACAGTGCTGCTTCTCAGAATGTATTGACTTTTAAGTACACAAACAATTTTCCACAATCATTATTTTATTGGGTTGAGACGACCGTGCTAGTCAGTGTTAAGGGACAGACGATTTCACTTTTTGTTCCATACTCATTTTGAGAATAAATCCTAAATGGCTTTTTTCTTGTCTCATGGTGGCATGATTCTAATTCAAGGTTTTGAACATAAGCTAAATGGTGTAACAATGAAGATAGCAAGATGTTTCAATATCTTAGGCTACGGTTTATCTATTCCTTTATATGTTTTTGTCAGGATTATTTACTATGCAGTTAAAAGACGTATCTTTCGGTGTGTGTGGAAAAAGGTTCAAATACACACATTGTTTAGACGGTCCAAATGCACCTCGCTTTCGTGAAAATCATTTTTTGACTAGAATAATGCATTACTGTTTCCATAGGGCAATCAAATACCTCTTATTATTTGTTCATGTATAAAAATACATCTCCGACATTTAATACATTGATTATTGGGTATAAACTGTTTAAAAATCACATTTTTGATTGTGCATGTAAGGCATTTAAGTTTAGTGTTGTATTATAAGAGATAAATGGAAATGTAATTAGATGATTCAACCGTAGTAATTTATTTTTAACTGACTGATAGTTTGCTTACTTAACTAAAAAAATACAAACAGGTAACACAGTTCCAATTAGTCCACTACAGTTAACCATTATTTGTGATTTATTATAAGGATGTAAAACAAAATAAAACAGTTAAGATGAATTATGTAAAAAAAGAGCATAGAACATCACACTATTGACTTCATGGTTTTACCAGTACTGCTAAAACAATTCTTTATGGTCGGGTGTGTCTGGTGATATATGGGCTCATTTAAAATACAGAAACATCCTCATTTATGACCATTTATTCATTTGATCTAACTCGAGTTCCTCAACAAATGACCATCAAATTACGGTTAAGAAACTGCATTATATCCCAAGTAGTCATATCCTAACCTTTTTTAATACTACATGTATCAATAATGTAGATTTATAGCATGTTTAGTTTATCTATACTGAAGCACTATTAGAACCCCCGAATTTTGAGACTAATTGTCACTGTCCCATATCTTTTGTGCTATTGTCATACTTAGTAACTGAGTTATTTAGTCTGAGAATTACCCATAATGATAAATTTGTCGTCGAGTTGATAGTCTCATATTAAACCAGGAAGCACTAAACATCCGTCTTGGTTATATTGGAAATACTGAAAAGTGTATACCTATGATCCTGCTCTGTAAAACCCTTAAGTAGGATGAAACACTTATTTAGCATCAATGTTTAATAATAAAAGATGTTTGGCGATTGTTCAGTTAATAAATAGGAACTGATAGATTGGTGAGCGCGGTGATACAATTTGTCAGAATGGTGGATGCTCACGATACAGAATTATTGAGACATACTCCTGAATGGTTTGATATCACAAATAGAACTTCTAGCCGAGAAGAATAATTTTCTTACCTTGTAAATAATATACTTATACAAAAACACCAGTAAGTTCAATACTTCCAAATGGTAAGTAACATACTATACCCAATAGTTTGGTTGACTTAAACTAAACCGATCATTTAATTTACCTTGGAATGGCTTGGTCTATCCTGTTGTTGATATTTTCTACTGAAATTCGATCAGTCTTGGTTGGTGCATGGTCATTTCGTGCAGATTGCTTCAAAATAGCCATTATAGCACAAATTTATATACAATAAGTGAAATGTAGCTAGCAGTGGAATCCAGTATCTCAGTGAATAACGCGATGGCACTTGAAATGAGCATCACTGGGTTCGAGTCTTGGAGTGAAGATTAACTCTGAGATGCTGCTACATCTAGCTGTTGAGTACCAGACGGAACGAAAACTGCATCTTGGATTCCACTGCTAGCTACATTTCACCTTTTTTTATTATTTATTCCAACCTATAACCACCTTGAACCTGACGATGGCCTAGTGGAGAAAAAATTAATGTTTTTCGTCTTTCTGTAAGACTTTGATGAACTATTGACAAATATTTTTCAATATACTGTGTTTTGTTTATGGATACATTATTAACATGATTTGTATTTTACGTTCATTTGTAATTGTGATTCATTGTTTTTGTCATATTTACGTAATCGACATTATTATTATTATTAACAGCAGATTACACGAATACAATAAATGACGGTGTAATGTAAATAGTTCTAATTAACTCATTATCTAAGTCAATACGGTAGTCTGGTTGTTTATGCTTTTTTTATTTTAGTGAAATAATTTTACTACACAAATAAATAATATTCACATAAATTACACATGTTTACTTAGTGCTATTTACAACCATAGTTCATTGTAACACTCAAGCTTTTTGTTATTCGATTTAATTATTATCTTGTTGAAAGTTTAGTATAACGTACTGTAGAGTTGAGCCAATCAGAATACAAGAATGGAACTTTGAGACTTTTGTGTGAAATTCACCATGACATGTATAATGTACAAGAGAAATAATTGTTCATTATGCTCAGAACATTTAAAATAAGGTTATTGTTTTCCATCATGGAAATAAGTCGAACATATCAGTTGGTTAGTTCTTCCCCACTAAATTATATATAACAGATGATTTGATATTATCTGTAAATGGTAAACTTAAACGCTTATTTCTAAGACAAACTTTGACCCACTGGCAGCATATTTTATGAGCGAATTAATTTAGTATTATCTCTTGGGTTGTTTTTTTGGCGAGATTTATTCATCCATGTTGTTACAGAGCATATTTGGAATATAGTTCATGTCATTTTGTGATAAAAATCTAAATTCTTAACTTGAACCAAGAATATTCTTATAAATCTATTTGAGTTTTTATAAAGGTTCCAGTAAACAGATTATTCATAACTATATAGACAAATTTGATGAATATTTGACTTTTTCAATTTGTTGACAGAGTAACCTGTAGAGGACTTTAATAAATTCATAAAATATTATATAAACATTTCCTTGAACTGTCCATTTACAAGGCTACTTTCTGACTGGTTAAAAGCAGGCTAAAAAGTCTTAGCGGGTATTATAATTTCATCTTAGTATTATACGCTTACTGACATTCTAATTATTCACTACTAAATTAGTTCTAAGCAAAGTTCGTAGAATCCAGAATATGTTGGATAAATTCAAAAATGAATCATGAAGAGAATTTTTATTTCATATAAAAAATGAAATTAGTGAGTATATATATATATTGATGTATTATAGAAGGACGTGGCTAGCAATCAAATCCAGGAGGCCTGTTTCTTCTTACTTGGTACTCATCAGCTAGATATACTTGCATCGGATTCGATGTTAACTCGTGGATTCAAACAATGCATCTTTAACTTCAAACGCATAGCGCGTTATCCACTGGGCAATTGAGTACAGATAGCCATTCACTTGTACAACGTTTATGAATCTCAATTTAATTTATAATGGCTTGTATTATCTTTTTATTGATATACTGATTGAAATTTCTAGAGAAATCTACTGTGTTCGAATCCCTAAGTGGACATTAACTCTGTGATGCAGGAAATTTTGAATAATAAGTTCAAAATGGGATGAAACTAATATTTCGCATTTCATTGTTATCCACATTCTATTTATTTTATGGTAATGTACATCATAATGATTAGATCAAGGTACTTTGCACATGATTGATCAAAACCCAGTCGAGAATATCAACAATCGGATAATTCAAAAATCATTTCATACTAAATATATCTATATAGTTGATATATTGAATGAAATGTTGTACTTTTGTTTTCTTCCAACATTGTTATTTATATCAACATTGTATCAGGTAGTATGTCTTTTCTAATTAGATCAATTATGATATATTAACTAGTAATTCTTATTGCATAATACTACTGTACAATCATGATTAAAGTGTTTGTACTAGGAAGTTATTCATATATTTTGTGTATATATATATACATATTTGTACAAGCTTAAGGTATTATTACCCTTAATACTTTAATATTTATCTAGTTATACGATCATGTGTAAATACTTTGAAATGAGTCATTTATAAACGACTAAACAATAGCTTACCTTAAATCATAAATATAGTAACATGTATAACAAAGTTTTATCTAACAACTAATTTGTCATGACTTCTACCTGAATTATGTGCTGATGACTTTAGTTATGTACTATTAAGGATCCAGTGTGCCAAATTTCGTCGTCAGGAAGAAATTTTCTAGATCCTCTTTGCAATATATATATTTTTTCATTTAATACTTGGATTTTCTTTAATCATGTTATGAAAAACTTATTTTTATGAAAATTAAATGTGTGTCCTATCCACCCCTAACATCTTTTACTAACTTTTTCTTCAGCAGAAACCTGGTTTATGCTTTCTCACAGTAGGCTGTTGCTGATGGTATCTCACCAAATGACATTCAGTATCTTGCATAACTCACTGTTTATGAATACTTGTACTATTCGATGATAGTTGTAGCAGTTGTATAAGTTTCAACTCCGTACAATAGGATTAACTGACTTGATGTTTGTATTGAAGATTCTGACTTTGATATTGGTTGACGGTTGTTTTCAGTTCCATATGTTCTTTAATTGTGGAGGATGCTTACCTTGCTTTACCAACCCTTGCCTTTACTTCTGCATCAGATCCTCCTAGCCTGTCGATGATGTTGTCCTTGTTCATCGATGAAAGTTCCCAACTTATCCAGAGCTTCAACTTCAAGTGTGATTTAGTTGGTATTCTCTGTGTTGTATTTGAGGATGTTGTTTTTCCCCTTGTGCATGTTTAGGCCTACTGTGCTGTTGCTACACTGGTTTTCTTCGTCTACATTTGATGTTGCGTATGAGGTGGAAGGGCTGGATCGTCTGCGAGGTCCAAGTAATCTAATTGCATGAACGCTATGTATTGTATTCCGCGCTTCCCATCAGATGTGGATATCTTCATAATTCAGTCGACCACCAGAAGAAAGATGAAGGCCTAGAGTAATAAGCCTTAACTGACTCCGGTCCTCACTCAGAATGCATCTGTCAGCTATCCTCCATTCACGACTTTGCGCTGAAGTCCATCGTATGAATTCTGTATGATGTTTACGATCTTCTGACCTCCTTACTATATAGTGTCGAAGAAGGTTCCATAACATTCTCCTATTCACACTGTCAAACGCTTTCTCATATTCAAGGAAGTTGATGTGTAGTAACGAATTCCATTCAACTGACTGATCCGTAATGTCGCGATTTGGTCTGTTGGCCTGTTGATATTGAAGTTGGGAGTTTACTGAATCTTTCATTCAATTCAACACCACTGGCTAGGGAACTTTTCTCGGTACTGATAGTGATGTTGTGCCTGTATAGTTCTCCCACTTGCTCAAATCTCGTTTCTTTGGTAATGTTGATGAGATATCCTTCTTTCCAGTCTGTCGACACTTGTTCATCCACCTAAATCCTCCTAAATAAAACGTGGAACATGTTTGCGGTTAATTCTATATCTAACCTCAGTGCTTCAGCCGGTATATTTTCAGGTCTTACTGCTGCTGCTCTCCCACTCTTGATCTGTCTGATAGTCATCCTTATTTCTTTATTTGTTGGTGGGGTGACAGCGAAGATGCTTCCATAAGGTTCTTCAAATACTTTTTTCATCAACTAATTATAATTACTCGCGTCAGTACCAACTCACTACCGACGAATCTTTTTTCGTCAGAATGATGGTTTGCGGAAATTGTAATAATGTAATGGCTGAATTCATCATTCGATTTAAGCTAGACCAGGTTTTTCAGAATGGTCTAGCTTAAATCGTCTCATGAGTTCAACCATTAAAATTTCTGTTTGTTTGTTTTCTTATAGGGCTGTCAAATTATTTTGGCATGTTTTGATGAACATCCTATAATGCAATCATTTATTAATTTATTCATCGCCTTAGCACCAGCTGCTTACCTTGGTTCAATTAAAAGTCCTATACGTTATATTGCACCATTTGCAAAAACAGTCGAACCAGTTATTGAATGGTTTGGAAATGGTGAATTTTTACCTTCAGGTAAAATTATGCAATTTCTAGCATCATTCTTATGCAAACCAAATCATATTCCTTTTGTATGTAGTAATATAATGTATTTAATTGCTGGATATGATTCTAAAAATACAAATGTGGTAAGTTGCTCTTTAATAAGTATTATTATATATATATTTATTTCTAAATATATTCAAAATATTTATTTATTGTTCCCTTATTTACATCTTATATTGTTGGATAAACATTCTGAAGTTAATATAATGATAGTCACTTTGTGAAGTAGTCTACTTTATGAAGTTCTGTATTCGTCCAGTAAGTTCAATGAAATAAAAGGATATATACAGATTACATGTATTCCTTCGTATTTGCCATAGACACACTGTTCTCGTGTGATGGAATCAGTAAGTTAACTTAAGTGATATGATTGAGATCATGAACCGATTGGTGTTAGACTACTGTTGAAAACCTGAAAGCACTGGACGGCCGTTTCGTCCTATTGTGGAACTCCTCAGCAGTGCGCATCCACGATCCCGCTCTCGGGACTCGAACCCAGGGTCTTCAGTCTCGCGCACTAACGCTTAACATACTGGGCCACTTAGCCGGTATCCAATGGTGTTAGTGTCTAAAATCAACCAATTAACGAAATTGCGCAACTATTTTCCATTGTACTGAGGTAGATACCTGTCTCTACCCGACACGGATTAGCTCCACTAGTCACGACTTCTGCTGAGGAGTCCCACAATAGGACGAAACGGCGTCCAGTGCTTCCAGGTTTCCAACAGTGGTCTAACGTCAATCGGTTCATGATCTCAATCAAAAGCTTAATAATCTCCACAACTACTATATTGTTAAGTGATATGGTTGTAAGCAATGGTGATTTTAGTGTGAAAAATCTAATCTCTAAAATCCCATGTTTAAAATTTGAAGAGAGTGAAGAAAAAAGTATGAAGTTTTTCATTTAAACCCATGAAAATAAGTATGCGTTTATGAAAATTTGTTATCCGAGTTGTCATTAATAAACAGTGTCCTTGAAAAATATTGACTATTCCTGTTTGTCTCTATGGTCTTATTAAGATAGGGATAAAGAAGAATGTTTAACTCCAGTTCTTTCAACTGTAACTATGGTTAGTAGACTTAACAACTCATAACTTTTCTACTACATTAAAATGTGAGAAATTTGTACCCGATAATTAAGTTAGGGCTATTATATATGAACAAAAGATATGCTGTGGTGTGTACTACTGATGTCGACAGATATGAGCAGTGTGTATCATCACTTGAAAATGAAATGCCTGGCGGCAGAAGATTAAGAATATCGAAGAAAAGAGAATGATTGGTGTGGAAATGAAGGAACATTAAAGTCAGATGATTGACTGATATTTTGCAAACGAAGCATTTACTGTATGGTTCTGAGATTTTACTAAGATATTCTGTAATTTAATGTCCAAATACATTCGATTGTCCTCACTTGTGTTCTCGATCACCAAAATACTATACAATAATTTCACTGACTGATTAGTTTCAATACAATGATAATCATATTTTTTTATGTAAACTTCTGTACTCGCATGTTTATATTAATTACATGACCTTGTAATTAGTATTATGACATTTTGGACATTTTAGTTTTACATGTAATGTGAGACTAATTATTACTGTTCACATTTCTATCACTCATTCTCTCCCTCTCTCCAACACACTCTCACCCCCACTCTCTCTCTCTCTCAGCATATATATAAAGGACAAAAACAATTATTTATTTTTATGAAAGCTTTGAACAAATACATCGAATTTAACACATAATTCTAACCATTTTATCAGAATGGGTTTTGTGGAGAGTTTTTTAAAAAATTTCATAGGTTGAAATCATGAGTCGATTGAAGCTAGATCACCATGGAAAACCTGAAAGCACTGTTTGACGGCCGTTTCGTCCTGGTATGGGACTCCTCAGCAGTGCGCATCCACGATCCCGCACCACGCGGGGTTCGAACCCGGGACCTACTGGCTTCGCGCGCGAGCACTTAACCACTAGACCACTGAGCCAGCACCCAATGGTGTTAATGTCTAACGTCAACTACTGAGGAGTCCCATACTAGGACGAAACGGCCGTCCAGTACTTCCAGGTTTTCCATGGAGGTCTAGCTTCAATCGACTCATGATTTCGACCTATGAAATTTCTAACCATTTTGTTAATGGACTATCTAAAATAGATGAATGTACTGGTTAGTTGTAAAATTTTACATATTATCAAAGCAATTTGAAATAAAGTACTTATGAGTTTATTAGCAGTTAATTAATCTGTATGAGAAATCAAACAAAAGTAAATAGATTCAAGGTTATGACAAATTGTTTTTGTACACATAAAAGGGAGTTTAAATTTACGAATAGTCAAGGCTTCAATAAACTTGAGAATTCTTCCTTGCCGATTTCTATACAACGTTTTAAAAGCTGTATTAATGTCAATTTTGTGCTCTGTTTCAATTAGATGTTTCGTTATCGATGAACATGGTTTTCTACCTCCCACATTGATCGGGCCATTTGACACCGAATTGGCAACTGTGTATAGAAGATACATGGATGATATAATAGTTATATGTGATAAAGATTTTATGGTTTTCCAGTTATTGCATAAACTCAATGGGGTTCAAAACGATATCGTAATGTTTTATGAAACAGAAAATAATGATCGATTGGCCTTTTTAGACATACTTTTGAGTCGAAGGGAAGATGGTACTATAAGACGGTCAGTTTATAGGAAACCAATTTCAACGGGGCAATAATTAAATTTCTATAGTTCCTGTCCATTGCAATACAAGCGAGGCTTGATTAAGTGTCTCTTTAATAGGATTCAAAGAAGTTGCACCACTGATACGGTAAAAAGATGAAAAGTTGCTAACTGACACATTAATATCAAATGGTTATCCACTATAGTTTATTAATAGGTGCAAAAGTTAGTTGACGCCAACATCTCTCGTTTATTCGGTTCCAAAGAAAAACGTTTATATCTATCTGCCATATAGAGGTGTGAATCCAACAGTATAGTCTTAAGACGGAGATTGAAAGCAGCCATCGAGAAAACCTATTATACTGCTAAATTGGTTGTGATTGAAAAGTCTAATCCCATGATTCCAACTAGACGTAGACAATGCACAAATGACTACGTCACATCTCATTGCATTAATCAATTAACATGTTTTTGTGGACACATATACATTGGGAGTAGTGGTCGAATAATGCAATCAAGGGTCATTGAACATGTGCCATGATGGCTTCAAAATTAATTAGTGTCAAGTGATCCGATCAGTGTTGGAGGTTGTTGGGATACTCAGAAAAATATCCCAGAAACAATTATCCGGTTAAGTCTAACGCTACCCTTGAACGTTAAATGGTGTCATTTCCCTATTGGTCGTTTCCCTACTGATCAATATTTATTTCGCGTGTCATTTTCCTATTGGTCAATATTTATAGTAATCCTAACTGTATAAATATGCATTTGTTTGTAAATCATTATTCTGCTGCTCCTGACCCCATAAACGATTTTCCATCTACGGTTCGTGTTCTGATATATTGGAGATTGGGAACAGTATTGGGGTCGAACTAGGATATCTGAAGCTTGTCAATTGGTAGAATTTAGAGTAGCCAACTCGCGATCCACAATAAATTTGGCGACGGAGATTTAGCAACAAGTTGGTGATTAACTATGGATCCAGCCAAATTAGAGAAATTGTTCGAACAGCAGCTGAAGCTGATGGAGATGCTTACTCAGACGCACATATCTTCTCGAGTGCCAACTGCACCGGCAATTCCTGAATCAGTTGATGGTATTACCAGTGGTATTTCAGAATTTCTTTATGATCCTGATGCCAACATTACATTTGATACCTGGTTCAGACGTTATGAAGACCTTTTCAAAGTTGACTTTGTTGACAGAGATGATTCGTGGAAGGTGCGTCTTCTTCTCCGTAAACTTGGTCCATCCGAGCTGGATAAGTATTGCAACTTTATTCTACCGCAGAACCCACGCGACCGTTCATTCGACGCCACTATTCAGTCCCTTAGCCAACTTTTTGGTGATCATCACTCTTCAGTACCCGATATCGCTGCTTAAAACTGGTCATGAATGAGTCTGATGACTTCCTGACTCACGTCGGCGTTGTTAACCGTGAGTGCGAACGGTTCAAGCTCAGATCCCTCACTGAAGACCAATTCAAGTCCCTAGTACTCATATGCAGTCTTCAGTCACCCAAATTCTCCGACATCAGAACTCGGTTGCTCAACCGCCTTGAACAAGATCCAACACTGACACTTAATGCGATCATAGACGAATACCAGCGTATCATCAATCTGCAGCGTGACACCACTTTGGTCCAATCTGGGGGCCAGGGTGGTTCCGAAGTTCATGCTGTTCAGCACCAAAAAAAATCTTCGAGATCGACAAACTCGAGTCCTTCGAACGCCAGCGCTGTTTCTATCTCTAATCACTCTAAACCGGCTCAGAAGAAGCCGCCCTCGCCATGTTGGCACTGTGGAGCCTGGCATTATGTGAAGTTCTGTCCATTCAAACAGCATGTGTGCGATCGCTGTCAGAAAGTTGGTCACAAAAGCGGCTTTTGCAAATCCAACCGATTCAATAACCGTCGAAATGCACAGACGCAGCGTCGTTTTCACAAAAAGCCGATTACCTCATCAAGGAGTTTAGCAGCAGTCTTCCATACCCATGCCGCGACTCGACGCAAATTTCTGACCCTCTCAATCAATGGTCAGCCTGTTCGTTTGCAGTTGGACACTGCATCAGATATCACCATTTTGTCGAAAAAGACTTGGCGAACCTTGGGTCAACCTCCCATCAAACCATCCTCTCAAACAGCCGTCAGTGCTTGTGGGGGTCATCTCCGCCTTCATGGTGAACTCTGTTGCTGTATTTCATTCAGAGGTACAACCTTCAATGGGACATGTTACATCACCGATTCTCCGCTCAACCTTTTAGGTTTAGATTGGTTCGAAGAACTTGGTCTCGCTGATCTTCCTATTAGCGCTGTCTGCAATCAAGTCCAAACTACTGCTTCTACACAACAGCATACTGAAGACCTTCGAAAACGATTTATTGAATTATTTAAGCCTGGTCTCGGACTTTGTTCCACAACTGAAGCTGTTTTAAAACTGCAGTCAGAAGCTACGCCAGTTTTTCGCCCAAAGCGTCCAGTCCCATACGCATCTTTACCTCTGGTTGACGCTGAACTTCAACGTTTGGAAACTGAAGGTGTCCTAGTACCTGTTTCTTATTCATCATGGGCTGCGCCAATTGTGGTTGTAAAAAAATCCAATGGTTCCATACGCATCTGTGCAGACTTTTCTACAGGACTCAACGCGGCTCTACAACAGCATCACTATCCGCTGCCGATCCCAGATGATTTATTTACTATTTTAAATGGTGGTACCTATTTTGCTAAGCTGGATCTGGCAGATGCTTACCTTCAAATTCCAGTCGCTCTAGAATCCAGAGAGTTGTTGACAATCAACACTCACCGAGGACTTTTTCAGTATACCCGGTTACCCTTCGGTATCAAAACTGCTCCAGCGATCTTCCAGCAGATCATGGACACTATTCTGGCAGATGTTCCTGGTGTTGCCACATACCTTGACGATGTGCTCATTGTCGGCTCAACTGTTGATGGATTGCATACCAGAACCCATTTAGTTCTACAACGTCTCCAGGATAATGGTTTTCGCCTTCGCCCAGAAAAATGCCAATTCTTCTTACGTTTCGTTAAGTACCTGGGGTTTATCTTTGATGCTTCCGGACGACACCCTGATCCTCAGAATACTTACGCAATCCAACAAATGCCTGCTCCCACTGATGTCTCCTCACTCCGATCATTTTTGGGGATGATTAGCTACTATTCAGCATTTCTTCCATCACTGCATGACGTACGATATCCATTAAATCGTCTGCTAGAAAAGAATGCTACTTGGAACTGGTCAACGCAATGTGAATCAGCTTTTTCAAAACTTAAAGCCATGCTAAGTTCCAATCTTCTGCTAACCCACTACAATCCGAAACTACCCATTGTGGTTGCTGCTGACGCTTCAACACATGGACTGGGTGCCGTAATCTCACATGTCTTTCCCGACGGGTCAGAGAAAGCGGTGATGCACGCTTCGAGAACACTAACACCTGCTGAGAAACGCTACGGCCAGATAGAGAAGGAAGCGTTAGCCCTAATTTTTGCTGTCCGGCGATTCCACAAATTCATTTATGGGCGCCGTTTCACCTTGCTCACAGACCACAAGCCGTTGTTATCAATCTTTGGATCAAAGAAAGGCATTCCTGCCCATTCGGCTAATCGTCTTCAACGTTGGGCGTTGGCGTTATTGGGGTACGACTTCGACATCCAGTATCGACGTTCCGAAGATTTTGGTCAAGCGGATGCACTGTCCAGACTTATCAGTAACCATTCTACCACTGATGAGGACACACTCATAGCCACAGTATCAACCGAAGAGGATTCCGGTGCTACACTATTGGCGAATGCCGTTCGAGCAATGCCTGTTACCGCTGAAGATGTTCGGGAAGCTACAAGAGAAGATCCGATTATCCAAGAAGCGATCACCTATGTTCAGAGCAGATGGCCAGTTGAACAGCTGAGTGGTGATATGCAACAATTAGCGAATCGTCGCAGCGCTCTCTGTATTGTTAACGATTGTTTGATGTTTGGTGATCGCGTAGTAATTCCAACAACCCTACGTTCCAAGGTCCTACGCCAATTCCACTCTGGACACCCAGGGATAAACCGTATGAAATCTATCGCTCGAAGCTATGCATATTGGCCAAATATGGACAAACAGATTGTCGACTTCGTCAAAAGATGTTCACATTGCCAAAAAGCTGCGAAAAATCCTCCTAAGTTGCCTCCAGTACCTTGGCCGAAGTCAGAAAAACCCTGGTCGCGAGTGCATATTGACTTCACCGGACCCCTAGATGGTACCACATATCTGATACTGGTTGACTCATACTCCAAATGGCCGGAAATACTGCCGATTGCCCCACCCTCTACAACTCGAACCATCAAACTCCTTAATCAGATCTTCGCTCAGCATGGTCTTCCAGAAACAATAGTAACAGACAATGGTTCACAATTTACATCTAGCCAATTCCGAGAATTTTGCCTGCAAAATTCGATCAACCATGTTCGTTCTCCGCCATATCACCCGCAATCTAATGGACAAGCTGAAAGGTTCGTTGATACATTTAAACGAGCCATGCTTAAAGCACGAGGGGAGGGGACCACAGAAGATATCATAGAACGATTTCTAGTTGCGTACCGGACGACCCCGCATGACTTATTGCCAAGCTCCAAATCCCCTGCTGAGATGCTTATGGGGCGAAAGCTACGGACAGTTCATGGTGCGATGAAACCCAAGCAAGTGGCCCAGCAAAGCCCCCAGATGAAGAATACTCGAATTCTCTACGAAGTTGGTACAAAAGTGTATGCGCGAGATTATAGACATGGATGTGATAAATGGGTAGAGGGTGAAATCACACAAAAACATGGGAACGTCATGTATGATGTCAAGGTGAACCAAGAAATCTGGACCAGGCACCACAATCAACTCAGGTCAAGGGAAGCGAAGGAGAAAGAAGCAATTACAAAACACGTCCCACTCGACTTGCTGTTGGACACGTTTCAACTTCCGCCAATACCTCCAACAGAGACGACTAAGTCACCTACTCAAGTAGAACATCCTTCTGGTTCTGTGTGGTTGCCTCGGAGGTCGGATCGCAAAAGAAGACATCCAAAGAAACTTCAAGTAAACCCTCGGTTACGTCGCTATTAACTTTTCCAAAGGGGAGGTGTTGGGATACTCAGAAAAATATCCCAGAAACAATTATCCGGTTAAGTCTAACGCTACCCTTGAACGTTAAATGGTGTCATTTCCCTATTGGTCGTTTCCCTACTGATCAATATTTATTTCGCGTGTCATTTTCCTATTGGTCAATATTTATAGTAATCCTAACTGTATAAATATGCATTTGTTTGTAAATCATTATTCTGCTGCTCCTGACCCCATAAACGATTTTCCATCTACGGTTCGTGTTCTGATATATTGGAGATTGGGAACAGTATTGGGGTCGAACTAGGATATCTGAAGCTTGTCAATTGGTAGAATTTAGAGTAGCCAACTCGCGATCCACAATAGAGGTAGAAAACCATGTTCATCGATAGCGAAACTTATAATTGAAACGGGGCACAAAATTGACATTAATACAACTTTTAAAACGTTGTATAGAAATTGTCAAGGACTAATTCTCAAGTTTATTGAAGCCTTGTCTATTCGTAAATTTAAACTCCCCTTATGTGTACAAAAATACTTTGTCGTAACCTTGAATTTACCTTGGTATTCCTTAAGTCATTCTATGGCCTAGGATAACGCGACAATTTCTTATTCTTTCTCTCTCCTTTGTTACCTTGTTTATTTGAATTTTCATTTAATTGACCTTTATTAATTTTCATATAAAATGCCCTGACAAGTCATATATGTTTGACCAGATTGTTCGAAATGTATAATAGCAAATACATCACATTTTTCAGATCAACTCTGTCTTCTCATTGTTCTATCGAAATTTATCAAAGAGAGACTAATTACTTTAGATGAAAAAAAGAACCAAGAATAATCGATAAAATTTCGAAGTACTCCAAATTTGGAAATGAGTTAAATTGGAAGTTGAAAAGATGTTAACAGAATAATGAGTCAAAGATGGATTGTGGCTAGCAGCGAAATACAGGACGCGCGTTTTGTCCTATTTTGGACTCGTCAGCTGAATGCACATGCATCTGAAAGTTGATGTTCACTCTGGGACTCGAATCCAGTACTGTTCTATTCAAACGCCATCGTGTTATCCACATGAATGAGTCTTTGAATTCGTAACAACCAGACATAAAAATAAACTATTTCGAAGAAACAGATTCCAAGACGATTCTTAAAATTTCTAATATAAACAATAAATAATCGTTCAGGCAATTTTACACACTCGGATATTACTTGTAAAGCAAGTTTTTTACTCATTTAAATAAGTGATCTCACTTTTTCCTAGTGATGATTGTTCAGTGTTCATTTGGCTGACAAAAGGCAACAAGATGTACTGACTAAACTTATATAATATTATCTGATTAACTAGGTACACCATATTCTACTAAACTGCCTAATAAAAAATAAATTTCCAGTTATGTGATCAGTCCTGAAAGATCTCAAATTTTGTACATCAATTGAAATATGTTAATGTACCTTTGTAGGCAAATACACAGTCCAATCTTTCAGAAGGAAGTTTCGATCAAAATCACAAATTACACGATGTTAACATCCTGATGACACAATAAAATTTGACTTAGATACACAGCAGCTATGGTTTCACATTATTTAGATTTGGCAAATTGATTATTAGACTTTCATTAGTACGCTTGAAAACATTCTTACGGAAGATTTTAATAGCATTCAAACATTAGATTTATCAATTCGTATTCAAAACGTAGTCTTGTTCAAAAAATTCTATTGCTTCTCCTGTAAGTAGCACATTTTTCTTAAGTGATAAGTTTTAAATAGTTATGTGTTGATTGTGACCACAAAAGGACGAAGGCGAGATATCCGTCTATCAATTAAGAGACGAGTATACTGTGGGGCAGTTCGTTCAGTTCTAATTTACAACTGCAAAATGCGATCATTAAGAGTAAAAGATATTCATAAGCTACTAGTACATGACCACAGATGCCTTAGAAATATTGCCCCCATCTTCTGGGATCACCGGGTAAGTAATAGTGAGGTTGGACGTAGCGTATTAGGGAATGATAGTAAATCAGTTGATGAGGTTGTGAATCTCCATCGACTGAGATGTTCGGGCCACGTGTTGCGTATGCCTGAACACCGTTTACTACGACGCTCAATGCTGACTAGTGTTGATGATGGTTGGGAGAAAGTTAGGTGCGGTCAAACCAAAACATGGTATCAGTCCACAAAGTCACTAACTTCTAGTCTGAGCCATGTTGCTATATGCAGACTACTTGGTTGGGGTCCGCATGACTATCGTAACCAGTGGTTGGAGACTGTGCGTGACATGACTCAGAATCGATCACAATGGCGTAGATGTATACACTCTCTAACTTCCCTTAAACTATAGGATTAAAATTGCTTTATATCCTTCTTTCGACCAACTAATTCTTTCTTCATGTACTGCATTCTTATATGCAATCTTTTTTATACATTACTACCACTAAAGCAACTATTCCTATGAATTTGGTGTTGATCTTGTTGTACTAATGAGGTATGTCAACTTGGACCGATGCACAAATTTGCCTGGTCCTACATTGGAGCTGACTGACAGGTATTTTTTTGAGTACTGACTTATATAGACAATTTATTTTCACTATAGTTCAATATATATCTAAATTTCCAGTTTCATATTCATACATCCTTTTTTTCTAATTTGAACACTTTATCCTAAACTGATTGAGTATGATAAGATTTGTTTACACATATTAACAGCGTTTGTTAAATAAACCATTTAAAGAAGAGTATAAATTTATTTCATACACATAGTTCCCTTTATCATTTTGAAAAGAGCAAGAACAAAGATTCTAGCAGAATAGCATGAATTCATTTTTATTTCGTTGGTTCTCGTCAGCTGCTTACAACCTGTGATATTTAAAATTATAATTACATAATGGGTTTAAATTACTTACATGAAAGAGTTTGATTGGAAGTTATAGTGCAATAGTGCAATCACGAAACATCTTCTTGATACAGGACATCAGGTCGATACCCTGCAATCATTCAAGGTGATTAGTAAACAGCCAAACTCAAGTCTTCTGAAGTTTGCTGAAGCAGTTGCTATCAGACGCCAAAACCTGATTTATGTGTTCAAAAGGAGATGGTTATTAATCTTTCCTTGCCTTGGTGACTAATATTCCTTCGCTGTATCTTAATATATATATTTTTTCTTTTTCTTTAAACTTTCTTGCACTTACCACATCACTGAGTTCTATTCCAACTATCTTCCAAATTAGTAATCTTATTTTATCAACTGAACTCTACTCATTTTATTCCTATCAATGTTTACTTGTTTCTAGCCGTTTGAACTGTTGTCACAATGTTCTTTTACATAAGGTATATATTTACAATATTCAGTCTATTAAATCTATTTACAACCTTGCTATACTATACGAATATGTCTTTAATATAAATTTATATTGTACACTGTTAAAGAAATGCGGTCAAAAATAACTTATAATCTTGAGGATTATTGGCTTATTGGTTAGAGCGTTCTAATTTCATCTGTTGTATATTTAAATCTGTCTTTAACTACTGTGATATGCCCATATCTAATACATAAGTTTAATTTTAATAGTTGAATTGATACATATTTCATCCTAGTATGGGACTCCTCAGCATTAATACTATTGATGCTGACTCATTGGTCTAAAGGTTAAGTGTTCGCGAGTGAGATCGAAGATCCTTAGTTCGAGTTCTGCGCACGGGATCATGGATGCGCACTTCTTAGGAGTCTCATACTAGAACGAAACGGCCATCCAATGCTTCTAGGTTTTCATTGATGGTCTAGCTTAGATCGATTTGTAATTTGAACTATTAAAATTACTACAATCTCCAAAAATCCTCATTCTGACATAAGTTTAACACAAAACCGAGTAAATGAAACCAAAATTTGTTGATAACTAGAGTGCAATCTCCTGTAAATATTATTTAATCATAATGTTGAATCTTTCAAATGTATATTTTTAATTAAATCTTCATATGTGAGGAATGATGTAGTGTTATTTCATATATAATTGAAAGTAACAGCATCTCAAGAATAACAATAGGAACATATTTCAATGGTTAAGATCATGAGTCAGTTGAAGCTAGATCACTGACTACGTTGAACTCCACTGGTCACTGCTTCTGACTAGAGATTCTTTGTTGTTAATAAATACATATAACCAGGTCTGTTGTGAGATAATAACTCACTGAAGACAATGGTGGATATGTCGCTCAATTTCGTGGATTAGTTGAAGTTAGACATTAACACCACTGAATGCCGGCTCAGTGGTCTAGTGGTTAAGTGCTCGCGCGCGAAACCAGTAGGTCCTGGGTTCGAATCTCACAGGAGGCGAGGTCGTGGATGCGCACTGCTTAGGAGTCCTATATTAGGACGAAACGGCCGTCAAACAGTGCTTCCAGGTTTTCCATGGTGGTCTAGCTTCAACTGACTCATGATCTCAACCATTGAAATTACTATAATATCCACAAAACTCATCTGATATTAAGAAACATATTTCTTAGGAAAAATATTTCAATGAACTGAAATCACTATCGTGATCCACAATGAATTACATTTAATCTACTTTTAACTAATAACCAACTGTTTTATATTCAGTTAATTTATTCCAGATCTGAGATTTTATTATCAATTAGAAGTTGTTGTTTTTTTGTTACATAAAACGACATCAAAAAAAAGAAAGAAAAAAAACGTTAACTTATTTACATGCTTTTAATTTGGAAAGTAAAATATCCCTTCTCCTCCCGCTTTTTTTTTAAATGAAATGTCAATAAATCTAATTGACGTAACTTTAATACTGTCACCATTTTAAAGTCTGTTTTTTTTTCTTTCACTCAAATAACAATTCTCATATAATTCAAATATACAAACCAATAAATCAATATCCATGTTATCATTAGCTAATTTAACAAACAAGTAATTGTTGTCAGGCAAATATTACAATATTGTTTTTTTTTCTTTATTAAAAAAAATGTGGTTAATCAAGTTGATGTGTTAATAGGCCTATTTATCATAACTTTACCCCCTTTCCCCTCCCCCCCCCCAAAAAATGAAAAACTTTTCTTAGTTTTGATAATTTTCTAAATACCGAACGTTTAATTTCATTTAATTCATTCATTCATTCATGCATTTTTTTTTCTTTTTGGATAATAGAGTCGTTTACCAATTTATGTTGCACATACACCAGCTGGAACATCAGTTCAAAATATGGTACATTATTGTCAAGTGAGTCATAAAAAAAATCGGTGTAATTTTCTTTTTGCAAAGGTTTGCATATTTCCATTGAGAAATCCGATTGATCAATCACTATGTCCATCCAACGTGAATATTATATGACAATGAACTTAAACTTTTGTATCAGAAGGGTTTTTTGTGGATATTATGGTAATTTCAATTGAAGCTAGACCATCATGGAAAACCTGTAAGCACTGGACGGCCGTTTCATCCTACTTTGGGACTTTTCAGGATTAACACTGTTCATACTGACCTAGTGGTTTAAAGGCTAAGTATTCAAGCTCGAAACCAAAAGTCCTGAGTTCGAATCCCGCGCGCGGGATCGTGGATGCGCACTACTGAAGAGTCTCATAATAGGACGAAACGGCCGTCCTGTGCTCTTAGGTTTTCTATGGTGGCATAGCTTCAATCGACTCATGATCTCAAGTAATAAACCTTTATCTTGACAGTTGAAGTAGTTAGTATTCACGTTGATAATATTTGAAGATAAGGAAAGGAAAGGACTGAGCAGATTGGAATTTATTTTATTTATTTTAACACATATATATTGGTACAAGGAGGCACCAAATACATATGCGCCACACAGATCTCAATTGATATGTGTGAAGGCTGTGATACTGCCCGATTGCCCAAACCGAAGTAGGTGGTCTTCTTAGGGGGCCACACCAGGAGCCTTCGACCTGAAGGTCTGATCCACAAGGCAGTGAAGCAACCTAAAGAGATGCAGTCCCATGATAGCCGGTCACCAACGATTATTTCATACGCCATTTGTTCCCTCAGGATACCCCTAGGTAGATCCTCCATATTAACCAAGCCGGTTATAGCACCGGTCAATCCCTTTTCGTCCTCTCAATTTCGTAAACACCCCCGCCACGAGAACTCAGTGAGTAGGACTTCCCTGGCAGAGGCTATATACGCGTGACCATGTGAGAGCATTTCGAGAGGGCGAGCAGACTCTCCCCACTCTCGACCGTACCAGGGCATTTGGGGGCTTAAATGTGTGGTGTCGCGTCGCGTGACCCCGATTGTGAGATGTGGTCAATAACTACACACCTGAGGCTAGCGCCCATCCAACCAGGTCATCTGCTCAGCACCACATACAGCCAGAGGGCCAAGTGCAGTTTTTCTCAGCATTTACGACGTGGAGACTGGATGGGAAACCCGCACTTGGCGAACAACACTCTCTGTCCAGTGCCCGGGGAGTTCTCCCATAGTCAGTACGATTATAAGATCAAATATGGACCGACAACGCATACGAAATGACATAAATTTTTATTGCATTTCAATTCACTTGTTATGTCTCGTTGAACAATGAAATATGAAAAGACAAAACTTGATCTTTTTTTTAATAAACGGAATACACCCATTATGACATTAAATAAAAAGGAAAGATTAGTTCAGCGAAGAGTTCTCTTTTCGGCGAATTCATTTTCAAAGCTATACAATCGCAAATATATATATACTTATTTTTACAGGGTGATAGTAATACTGATAATAAACTTGTTATACATGGTGAGAGTGAGGTTAAATAAACAAAGTTATTAGAAAATTTTTTTAAAACAAGGAAAGTTTAATATTCGTTTGATAGTTAATGGCTTAAGTATTCATCGGGTAAAGATGGCTCAGCATGATAAAATAAAATGTCGAAACAGAGATGAAATGTAATCGGAATGATCGTGGAAATAAAAACAAACCGGTTGGGGGTAGAAGATTTGAAGGGAAGATGGAAGGTGAAACAGGTGGCTGTAAGAGAACAAGAGTATGAAGAAACAGAAAATTTTTTTTAAAACATTAAGACCATGGTAGAAGAAGAGGTTGTACCGGTCTCTTTTGTACACATAATTTTGGTTTTTCAAAATGTATGGCTATTGCCCCGGCAATGCAAACAAGCTGCAGTTTAATTGTCAGGTATTTATAGTTTTTAGTAAGAACAAAATCATCATTACAGTCCACCATTCCGCATACAGGAGGTTATTAGCATTTTCCAATCGGGAAGCTACACGTAGGAATTCTAGAATATTCTGCCAAAAGGTGATTGGATGGAATATCTTCGGCTCCTTCTGAGCCTCCTACAGCTTCCTCGAGTTCGCCCGTGGTCCGTCGTCGCACTTACCCGGTGATCGCAGCAGATGTGAGCAATATTTATATTATAAGACATCTGTGGTCAAATATTAGTAGCTTACGAATATCTTTTACTCTTAATGGCCACGTTTTGCAGTTGTAAATTAGAACTGTCGCAAAGTATGCTGGTCCTTTTATTGATAGACTGATTTCTCGCCTTCGCCATAGGTGACATAGGCTGGCAAAAGCCAAACGAGCTTTTCGAATCCGTGCTGAGATTTCTTCAGATACCAACTCATTAGGACTGGTCAGACTTACAAGATAAGTGAACTTGTCAACGCCTCCGACTACTTCACTTCCTATCTTCAGTTCAGGTGTTGACGCAGGCCAGTCCTGAATCAACAACTTGCATTTAGAGGGGAAGAAGCGCATCCCTAACATTCTGACATTGTTGCTTAGTGCTGCCAAAAGACTCTGCATTTAATCAGCGTCTTCAAGAAACAGGACTATATCATCTGAGTATTCTAAGTCCATAAGTGGACTTCCTGGTAGATCAATGCCAGAAAGTTCAGTCGATGAAATGAAATGAACTCATGCTATTCTGCTAGGATCCTTGTTCTTGCTCTTTTCAAAATATTTTTTTCTATACAGTATTTAACTTTTGGTGGCTCGGCATCCGACTCCAATTCAGTCGTTTGCTGATTGCTATCGAAACATTAATTAGCACACATACGATCATATAACGAAGCAGGATTAGTAAGCGAATAAGTGACAGGATAAAAATGTTGCTTGAGAAGACTGACTGGATTGGTCTGTCCAGAGGCCAGAATAACTTATGTGGGTTTGACATAGTACCAGCCCCTACAAACTAATTATCCACACTTTTAAATTACCCTACAATTAAAATGATATAATGACTGTATGGTTTTATGTCGATTGATCCGACAGCACAATAAATTGTCCAGTAAAGCTGTTCCGACCACATAGTTGCATGTATCAAAACCTGAAGCACGAAATTTATTACATTATATGCCAATGACCTTAAATGTTGGCTTGTCATTTGATCGCTCTACATAACCCAATGACCTTAAAGTGTAAATTAATGTGTCCCTTTGAATGACGAATATTTTGTTCACTTTACTCAAGTTATAGTTCACTTTAACACTTGATCTTGTTCAGTCTATAGTATATAGTGTCATTAGAAATAGATTCAAATTGTTGTGTGGAAAAAAGTATTCCATCAATCTTTCTACGACGTTCAATACTTGGTGGAAATCATATTTTTTACATTTTTGACGAAACTATAATTTATAAACGAACCAATCAGGTTTAAGATAAAAGGTCTTGGATTTTGGCATGAAATACACTCATCGGCATTATAGCTGATGTCACTTCGTGATTAAAACACTAAATCTGATTCCTAACCTTAACCATCAACTGTAAATCATAATTCTAATTCCCCATACAGATTTATAACCCTCATTTGGTCTTAAATATTAGGTGGACATTCTCAAGGTCAGTCCAGCGTCGCTCAAAGGTCGTCCATAAATTATATTCTTACCCATTCACCTTCTTATTAGACTGATAATCAATGAAATACATACATTAAAGGGTACTCAAAATTTCTGGAAAGTATTTGAATAGAAGAAAATTTCAACAAATCTTTACGTTATTCCTACAGATAACTATTCTATCGTTGTTGATATTTAGGAGTGACTTTTTATCATTCTCTTTTTGTCTATGTGAATCGTACATAGATTATTTAACAGTGACTACAGTTGAGTGTTTTTACTTAATCACTGGATTTTTTATTAGAATTAAAATCTAAAATCCACTTTGCATTCAATTCAGGGTTCATTGAATAGAAATAACTGATTCCATTGTTGATTTCAAGTTACATGGAAACTAAACTTTCTTCGTAAACTAATTTGTTTTGAAATTTTTCTTTCTATTCGACTAAACATAGATAAGTTATTATTGAAAATATCGGTGAATTGTAAACGTTTTCCAGGTTTTAAGTAAATTATAAACATGAAACAAAGTTGAATCTATTAAACATAGGTAATAATACTTCTAAATGAGTCTGAATGACAGTAACAAATTAACGTTAAGTTACCAGTTAAACCATTTAGTTCAGAGCAATTTGCAATGTTTTCTCATACACCAGTTACCACTTTCTGATGACTCACACCACGAAACATCATTTTTTCAAGGGCCTGGAACAGAAACTGGGTTGATAATGGTCTCAACAACCTGGAAGCGTGACCACAGAGCTCAAAAGACAACCACTTGAGGCCGGTCACACATAGTCTTATTTCGAGTGTTTTTTGATTTTTTGTTTCCGCACCTTGAAGGCCTTACCGACTCAGTAGCTAAGTGGATAACGTAATGGCGTTTGGAGCGAGTCCCAGAGTGAACACCAACTCTGGGATGCAGGCACATCCAGCTAACGAGTCCCAAATAGGACGAGACGCACATCCTGGATTCCAATGCTAGTCACTATCCATCTTTGCTTACCGAAAGCGTTGAAAATCAGTAAGACAAATTAAGGCGTGGCATTTTTAGAGTTGAACTTTTAACTTCTCTTTCTGTTGTGGGGAGGCAGTATAGATGCGTGCGTCGGTAGCTTAAGAGGAACACTTTGCTGCCGTCACCGCCCTATACAGTGAGCAGTACAACTTGATTATCGCACTGTAATTTTGTTGCTCTCAGTTTTATCACTCTACAACCAACCTGGCTAATGTGGTAGCAAATGCTCCAGTCAATATATCTCGACTACATCATCATGATATGCAAACCTTATCCATAAGTCAAGGTAAAACCTATGGGTCCACCACTTGATGTTGCAAGCACAGTATACTTTTCATCTACAAAAACAATTACAAAACACAATTTGATTAGATGGTGGTTGGAGGTAGTCGACAGGAAACCCTGGACCCGGGTTTCGTGCTACTTGGCACTCGTCAGCAAGGTGTACCTGTAATATTGAGGGAACTGGTGCTCCTTGGCGGATTCGACCTCGTGTCACCCAGCTTCACAGTCAGAGACGTTACCACTGAGCTATCCGAGTCACGACCGACCTCCTGTAGGACAGAGATGTAATCACAATTGATTGATCACTGGGTGGCGATCAATTTCATGCGTGTCTAGTCCTGGACACTAGACACAGTTTAAAAAAATATCACCAACTAATTTTCTTACTTTAATAAGTTATTCTTTTTTAATTCGGAAATTCTTTTTTTACAGGGTATAGTTACTGATCGCTTTCAAAAATACGATTATGGTCCTACAAAAAACTTACAAATTTACAATCAATCATATCCACCATTATATAATATTTCTCAGCTTAAAATACCTATTATCATTTATTACGGTGGTCATGATTGGCTTGCATCTTATAATGATGTTCATAAACTTATAAAACAAATTAATTATACAATTTCATCCATACATTATTTTCCAGAATATAATCATTTAGATTTTGTATGGGGTTTAAATGCTGGCAAATTGTTATATCCATTAATATTAAAACAACTTTCTAGAGTTTAATTAAAGTCAACAACAACAACAGGAACTAGACATGATTTTCTATATGAAAAAGTGTGTGTGTGTGTGTGTGGACGCGCGCACGTCTACGGTACTGTTTGGACTGATTTCCATTCATTTAATTTTACATTGTTTATTTATTTATTTATTTACTTTTTAATGTTTACTTATCACTGATATCATTATTTCATATTGATTATTATTTATTATGATCATCACTATGGTGATTTTCGCTTCTTCCTTCCCCCTCCTCTTCTTTTTTTTTTTGAAATTTTATCTCCAACAAATTATGTGTAAAAAAACGGAACAAAACAATTCTGTCATAGAAAAATTTGCAAACAAAGTTATCATTATCATGATCAAACACTTCAAGTTTTAATGTTTTATGTATTTATTTATTTATTTTTTACTTTTTGATATTCGAAATCTGATTATTAGAAAACAGTTTTTAGGAATAAAGATTTGATAACGTTGTTTTAAGTTTTAGAATTATTGATTTCTTTGGAACTGTTGTGCTTGTGCTTGTGTTATGGTGTGCTGTGTTGTACTGTGCTATTTTCACTTATTTTTCATTTTGTATGTAAGTATGTACTTGTAAAACACTTTGTTTATCTTAATTATTTTATAAAAGTTTTTCATAATGTAAAAATATCAGTTTTATAGTGAAAATTTATGTTGAAATGTGAGATTATTGCTTATTTTTTATAGGGATATATAATGAATATTCTCAGTGTAGGGTTATGGAGATTATTAGCCTGGAAGCACTGAACGGCCGTTTTGTTTTATTGTGGGACTCCTCAGCAGTGTGTATCCATGGTCCTACTAGCCGGATTCAAACCCAGGACCTATCGATCTCGTGCGCGAACGCTTAAGCTCTAGACCATTGAGTCGGCATCCAATAGTGTTAATGTCTAACCTCAACCAATCCACGAAATTGCGCGACCATCTTCTATTGTACTGAGGTAGATATCTGTCACTACCCTACACAGATTAGCTCTACTAATCACAGCTTTTCACTAGAACTCTGCGAATTCCTTCACGAAGCTAGTCAATAGTGAGCACATGGTAATTATTAGTAAAGAGTTGTGGATATTATTAAGTTTTTGATTGAGATCATGAACTGATTGATGTTAGACCACCATTGAAAACCTGGAAGCGGGTTAGACATTAACGCTGTTGGATGCCGACTCAGTGGTCAAGAGGTTAGGCACTCACGCGCGAAACTGAAGGCCCTGGGTTCGAATCCCGTGAGTGAGATAGTGGGTTTACACTGCTGAGGAATCTCACAATAGGACGAAACGCTCATTCAGTGTTTTCAGGTTTTCAATGGTGGTCTAACATCAATCAGTTCATGATCTTAATCAAAAATATAATGAATAACTTATAGGTTAAAATGATTTTATGGTGAAGTGAAAATTGCTTTTTATTTTAGAAGACATGGCATATAATGTAATTCTCACACCGAAACAGTTATTGAAGACTATAAAGCTCGTTGCATTTTTAGTAGAACTGTCAACGTTAACTGGTAATTTCCATAATTCAGTAGTATTGAAAAACCTATCTCGAATGCAATGATAATTGGCCTTAACATAATGAATATTAAAACAAAAATAAGTCAGGGGGTTACAGACACTTGTCTGATAGTTTAATCAAAGTCCATATATTTATAACCAAAACTATACTGAAATAAATACAGGGTAGAAAGAACCTATTTAAAATAATGAACAAGTCCATTTGATGTAATACAGATTCTTGTTTTGACTCAATAACCAATGAAGGCATCTGTTATGTAGACTTATGTTCAAATGAATCACCAAATAATTCAATTTCGAATGATTAAATCCTTTCAATTAAGTAAGATACCACTTTTATGCATTTGACTGAAATAATCCAGATAAGGAAGTTTACTACCAATCATCAGATGGAGCATTTATGTAGCTTGATTTTGACTCAAATATGAATGTAAAGATTTTGTAAATAAAATGTGTTTTGAATAAGCGCTTCTCTATTTTATAAGTATATGCCTGCTATTAACTTGTAATTTGATAATGTTAGCGAAAAATGTTTTACATTTGATAGTTGTTTAGAGTAACCGGTTGTTCTAGAAACAATTCAGCAGAGTTTAACAGGTAATATCAAATGATTGTCAGATTTCAGCGTATATATCAGAAACATTGACTACTAAATGTCCTAATTGCTTTGTATTGTAGGCATTTTGAAGCATATTCAAAGAATATATATATGTTTATGTTTTTATCAATTCCTTTCCTAATATGAGGGTAGATCTTATTTAGGCCTTGTATGTCAGTCTTTTTGTTTCTCCTCAATACAGAGAAAATTCATTTCTACTCAGAGGTAGTAAATGATCTCTTGGTCAAATATGTAATTACTCTATTTACCATTATTTTGATTTTAATTAATTCTGCTCAATGAAGCGTCTGAACAACGATATATTTCATTAGTGGAGCTTACCTTAAATATCTAGCAGTCATTTAGAAATATCACTTGTGCACTACCATTTGATCTTTATCATTTACAGTGGATGGCATATTTCAAGATCCTACTAATGATTCTACAATTCAGAAATTCAAACAATTCATAATAAACCATTGATAAGATATCTCTTACACTGTTAATGATTCCCTAATATTTCCAGAATGAATTGTGATATTCGAATGATTTGGACACAAGTTCTCAATCCACCTTCAAATCAATAACCTGGTTTCCGCTTGAATGAATTTCGTTGTTTCAGGTTTCGCCTGTTAACCTTAGACATCTCATGTTCATCGTATATTTTTTCAACAGCTGTTACATTTTTTAGCAAAAAATAAATCAAAGTCAATATAGATAACTAGTACAGAAGTTGTAGCCAGAACAATTATGACCCATGCTGTGCATCAATATTTCTGAGCCAGTAAATGCCCAATTTGTCAGGTTAATGTCACGGCTCACTGACAGAACTATCCAGTAGTGGCAGGTGTTTTCTGATATGATAACCATAGGTTCTTGTATGCGATCATGAGTCTTAATTTACTTAGTTGAACCTCAAAGAATTCTTTGAGGAGTATAAAATCAACCCTACACGTTCACGATCATACCATTCATGGTTTAACCCCCAAGCGTCGGTTATTGTGTTTACTCAAAAAATTTTCACATCCATTATACCTTACATTTATCAGAGTTAAGTAACTATTTTCCATTGATTTGTGAATAAGTCTATAACTTATTTATAACGTTGGTTCTATAGTGTCTATTACGAATAAATACTCACATGATTCATCTTATCTTTTGAAGAAGCCCTAGTAACTTAGCACGTGACAATTGAGTCATTTTACCTTCATAATAACTGTTGTTTCATAATACATAGTAAATTGCGAATTTCAGCACACACAATATTTTTATTTTTATGCTCTTGTATATCTACACTCATATGCCTGGTATGTACTCGTGTGAGTTTGTCGTTCATTATATTATCCAATCCCTATCTTTCCCACACTACACATTATCTATTTTGTGCCATATAGCTGCTTGTAGTGAGTTGGCATGTTTGCCTTCTGAAGTCTGCTTCTCTACTTCGTTTATCTGATTACCTTTGTAGATCAGCGAGCATATGAAATATACGTATCTCAAATCCATTCTCGTGTTTGATTTATTTTATTCCGTTATCTTATAATACTAATTAAGTCAATAATTATATGCGAAGGTAGCCGACATGTATCTTTCTTAGGTATTAGCATACCAACAAATCGGGGTCAGACAAATGGGACGCTAAAATTCCAAAGTTTATAAATACATTTATACGCATGTGCAGTTTGTTTAGAAGGTAACCCTCTTTTAGTCTTTTCAGATGAATTTACGACGAATAATTAATATAATTATTTCAGAACTAAATGCTTCATGCTATTTGTTTTGATCCTGTAATGGTCATACAATACAGTTCGAGCCAGCGAACCTCAAATTCTAGTACTTGTTATGGTAGGTTTCAATTCGGACTATTACTAGTTCGTAACATTTCAAGACTCCGAAATGTCATTTGGGAGATTTCTTCTTTGAGTAACTTGTAACTGGGAAGTAGAAAGGGGATTTATGGGATGGACGATGTGCTGTGTGGCGTCCTGCCGTAAAATTGTGGTCTACTTCGGTATTAGTACTACTATAATGATAGACGTAATCCTAAAATTTTAGATATGTTATGATGTGGCTATCTAATCTATAAGATATTACATGAAAGTCACATCAAATTCTACGCTAACTCGTCGCACGTGACAATTAGTAACATAACTCCTAACACTTCTGAAGAACATATTTTGGACTGGATAGAGGGTGATGTATTCAACACTAAAACATGAGGTTACATGGAGTAACCACACCCACATGACTGAGTCGTGCCATCTCGATTCATTGTCCCTGCGTTTACCATTAGTGACCTCGAAATGTTACATGTTGAATGTCAATCTTCTCAGTAATCATGTGTTCAACTTCGAAAATCGTGTGTTTAGGAACCAATACCACTTCACTCCCTCTGTATCTCAAGTCTAGATTCAAACTGATCACATCGCAACCAGATACCGCTGATAAGCACTGAGTTTATACAGGGTCCTTGCAACTCCTTGTAGCACGTCGATCCACTCATGTTAACCGCGAGTGTGATCATCAACGAAGATTGCTACGTAATGAACATAAGCTGGTAATTAATTGCACTTCATGGTCTGGTTCATGCAGTAGTGGTCGCACTATTTTCTTTTTACCTTATCTTACCATCATATTTTTGTAACAACTTCGTTTGTATTGTACGGTAATCAAAACAGCCATAATACCTTCATACGATGAAAGGGTAAAGTACGTCAGGTAGAAACCGCAAGGTTTAACTATGAAGTTAACTGGTTGGTCACACCATTCTCGTCCAACTTGATTAGGTCTCCAATCATTCGATACAGATCATCTACGCTAGTGATCTACATTGTTGAGACGGACTAAAGAAACACAGCGTGTTATTAATTCAC